ACACAAAGACAAATGCTTTATGGCAATCTCACTGATGTAGAGTCCACAGTAATCAAAATCAGAGAAGCAGAGAATAGGCTGGGTCAGAGGTGGAATGGGGAGGTGCTGGTCAAAGGGTCCAAACCTTCAGTTACAGATGAATAAGTGCTAGAGATCTAACATGGGGCATGGTGTGTAAAGTTAAAATACTGCACTATATATTTTAAAAATACCAGGACACTTATCTAAGTTTTATTGCCACAATAAATAAATTAATCCATTAACTGACTAATTAAAAATGGAAACAGTGAGGTGATGATTAGTTATATTAATTGGCTTGAGTATGTGATCATTTCAAATAATTGTCCCTCCATCTCCATAGTAATGTGGTTTAGGACCCCCTTGCCCCGCCATAGGTACCCAAATCCACATATGCTGGAGTTCCTTATATACAAGAGTGCAATGTTAACATATAACCTACACTATCCTCCTGTATTCTGTAAATAATCTCTAGAGTACTGAAAATATCTAATTAAATGTAAAAGCTATGTAAGTAGTTTTTATACTGTGTTTTCTTTGGAAACAATTACAACAAAAATCTGTACATGTTAAGTACAGATCTAAATTTTCCCCTAAATATTTTCAACCCATGGTCAGTTGAATCAATGAGTGCAAAACTCTTGGACACAAAGGATCAACAGTCTATAGACTCAAAACATCAAATAGCAGTATTTAAATATATACTGTATTTGTTGATTTTCTTCAACAAAGCTGGAAAAAAGTACTAAAAAGTACTTCTATTCTTCCACGTCCCCTTCACCCTTATTGTGAGTTAGCATTCAAATATCACAGAGAACATTTGACCTTTGGTTTTTGGGATTGATCTATTTCACTTAGCATGACACTGTCCAGTTCCATCCATTTACCAGCAAATGCCATAAGTTCATTTCTCTTTATCACTAAGTAGCATTTGATTGATTGATTGTGTGTGTGTGTGTGTGTGTGTGTGTGTATACCACATTTTCTTTGTGCATTCATCTGTTGAAGGGCAGGCACTATGCCGATTCCATACTTTAGCTATTGTGAATTGAGCTGCTATAAACATAGATGAATACATGATTAGTGTAATTCCACATCACACACAACCAGAAAAATTGGAAGTTATACTCTGTGTATGTATAATATGTTACAATACATTCTACTGCCACGAATAAATAATAAGAATACATTTTTAAAAATCTGAAATGAATAAAAATGACATAATTGATAAGGTAATGTAGATCGCCTCATGAATCAATGGACATCATTTTATTTTTTTCCTTTATTTTCATAATACCAGAAAAAATGATGTTCACACTAATGCAGCAGATGCAGCACTATGTTTTACAATGAGAATTATAATTTCTCATACTATTGTCAGGAAAAATTGTCAAAGACTGAAATGGGAGGGATGAATTACTATAAGGCTTGTCTGATTCACTTTCAGGGTATCTTTTTGCTTTAGAAATATTGTAGAATTTTGTATATCAGACAAAATTGACAGAAATGCAAATGATGTCTGTCCATAAAAATGAAAATGAGTTCAGTCCAGTGGAATACCATTTATTTTCTGGGTACAGTGATTACTTTGCATCTTTCTGAGTTCATTTCAGTACAACTAATAGCCTGAATGAGTGTATGATTTGAATTACCCTTGAACCAGTTAGTGGTCCCTCTTTTATTAACTAATAAAGTGTTTTATAGGTGTTTAATTTTTATTTGCATAGAAATCATAATTTTATCTTTAAAATTAATTTCTTAACAATATTATGTTATATTTTATTACATTTTATATATTTTTCTTTTGTTCCTTCCTCCCAAGTCTGCATAGACAAATTAAAACTGTGATGGGGACATTTATACCTTCTAGTCACATGTTACTACTAGCACTCTTCATATGCTATGGATAGATCTGTGATGTTGAAAGGAACTTTAGAGACTGTAGACTATTGAGAGACATCTAATTTTACATAACAGAAGCCGAGGCCCAAAGAAAATCAAGGGATGGGTAGAAGATCTAAACTAGTTAACAAGAGAACCAAAAATATACCCTAACTCCTAAGCTGTATTTTTTTCTAAATTTGCTCTATTTTCTTTTATATAGAGCCACAAAATAGGAAAAATAGTTAAGTGATTTTCAGACTTCAGCCTACCTATCATATTCCTATATATAGCAGCATACTCTAGTTTGAAAATTTCTACTTCATTGAAATATATGTATTTCAGACACAGATCTGCTGTGCAATCACACTTTTGATTACATTTGGCTGTCCATATTTCATAGTTAATAATCAAACAAACAATAAAACCTTGTAGTTTTCTACTCACCAACCCTATATGCCTTTTTTTGAATCAATTTTGCAGTAACTTATGCAATTATCCCACCAGCAGTCCTCTTCACGCCACCCTTCACACCAAAATAATGAGAGAAAATGTGTCTTTCACTAGACATGAACTAGCTACTTAAGACAAAGACCTCAGTCTTTCCTAAGTTTCCAGCATTTTTTATTTTTTTTTTACAGAACTCAAATACAAAGTTAAAATTCAAATAATCTCCTGAGCTGAATTCAGAACAAACAGCTCATATCACTTAGTGTGGTAAGGGAATTAAATAATTATGAATGAGCAGAATGAACTTAAGGGTAAGTTCCATTTCACACTCTTAGCCAGTGATGGAATGCAGCCTTCTATCACATTCTTGTCACCATCATCCAACCCAATTATTGACTCAGTGTTAAAACTCAAATTACCCTAGAGTTGGAGAAGAGCAAGGACTGATAACCATGCAAAGGATGTATTATGCCGAAGATCTGAAGTGTGACCATCTTGTCTGATGCCTGAAATCTGAACTTTCACATTGTACTTTGTAAAGTTTAAATATGGCAAAGATTCTAATGTATGGGTTTTCTTCTACTTTTTTACTCCTCCTTTCAATTTTTGGCACTCTGCTTCAACACGTCCATTAGAATGGGGGAAATTCTTGAAGTCATTTTGGAAATAGATTCAACTTGTCCCTGGACATCCCTTTTTTCCTTCTTGAGGTTGTTATTGGTTTTAAAACTTTCTTAAAACCATCACTCCTGTAGTGCCTTGCCTTCCTTGCTAATCTTAGAAGTCCTTAGGTTCCCAGGACTTTCTCAATGGACATGTATATGACCCATTTGTTTCTCTTCCCAAAAGGCTCTTTAGTCCACATTTTACTCATCCCCCCTTATTTAAAGAAAGTGAGTCATCCGCCCTCATTGTAATGACAGTGACTCAAACTCCCTGGAATCTGTTGGTCTTAGTAATAAAAGATTGAACCGCTTGTTTACACCAAAGTCAACCAGTAAGTCTACACCAGATGACATATTCTTATTAATTATGACTCTTTAAATGTGAGTGACACAAATCCTATTTTATTTTAATTAGTTTAAACCAAAAGAGGAATTTTTTGGGCCCATATAATCAAGGCACAGGAAGGATAAATAAAGGTGACTTGAGAGATGATGGCAGCTAGAGGATCCTAGGTCACCACGAGCTTTACTCTTTGTCCCTGTGTTCTCTCCTATTCTATCTCTGAGCAGGTTACTGTGCATAGATGGCCTTGTTCCCACACCTCCATGCTCAACCCACATAGCATGAAAAAAGGATGCCTTCTCTTCTCAGGTCCAGTTAGAAAACACTCCAGGAAAAGGTGTTAGGCATACAAATCAGTAAACACTCAGAGCATTGGAGTAAGTTTTAATCTTTGGTAATTATTCTACCACTTGTGAAGAGTTATTACTAAATCATTATGGCAATCTTTTTACCTAAATTTTCGACACTATAATCAGCCTAGGAAACAATTGACTCTAAATTAAAAGAAACATAAAGGATGTACTTCTCAGATGTGAATGAAGTTCTACAATGATTAATTTTTATTCTCACTGTTGCAGTTGAGCACTGGATCCCAAGGAAACACAGGTTTTAAGATTTAGAACACTAGATCTAATCCAAAGCAAAACCTCATCTAACTTTTGAAGGATTCGGTAGCCAAAAAAGTACCCAAGTCATAATAATATTATATATATATAAATCATAAATCATATATATAAATCATAAATATAGTCAACCTCTCATATATGTGTGTTCCACATCCGTAGATTTAGTCAACTGTGTATTGAAAATAGTTTTGAAAAAAATTGTGTCTCTACCATATGTGTATGAACTTTTATGTCTGCTCATCATTTCTTAAACAGTTCAGTGTAATACATATTTATATTGTATTATGTATTATGAGTAATCTAGAGATGATCTAAAGTATACAAGAGGATTGCATGTTTAGATGAAAATACTTAACCATTTTACACCATTTTATTTAAGGGGCTTAAGCATTTAAGCAGTTTGGTGTTGTGAGACTTTCTGAAACTAATTCCCTGCAGATACCAAGGAACTACTGTATATATTTCTTTATAAAGAGCCATCATATGCCTCCCTAAAACTTTTTTTTATTACTTTGTCCTAACCTTTAAGTCCCTCTCTGTCCTTCTCTCTCTTTCTCTCACTTTTACACACATACACAGGGACCAACTCGTTTTCACAAATTTTTAAAGACAACCATATTTCCCTCCACATGGTGTTTTCTCTTTTACATAACAGCATATCGGATTTGCTCAAATATTTTATATGTTGAAAAAATATTTCTTCACCTAGTTGACATCATCTTGAGAAACTCTCAGTATTGTTTTAAAAATGTAAACTCAAAACCAATGATGGCTGTCAGCATAGGTTGTTCTCATTGAAAGTACGATGAGAATACTGGCTTCATTGTGGATATCTTCTGCTGTTAAAAATATGACAGCAGGCAAGTTCTTGTTAGCATTTAGACAATGGAATGTCCAGACCATATCCGAACAAAAGCCAGATGTTTTTTCCTAGGGAATGGGTTTCCTAGGGAAGGTACTCTGAGAACCTGGAGAACCAAAAGCAGATCCCAAATCAAACTTTGAAAATAAAAAAAGAAAGCAGAGCCACATATGGTATGCAAGAGTGAATGAGTTTATTAGGTCAAATATAACTGAACTTCCATAAATTTTATAGGATGAATTTATGTACTTATGAATTACTTGTTTCTAAATTATAGACACTGGACTCTATATTTTATTCATTCATTTATTTCACAGCCTGAAAGTGCTAGTCTGTCAACCTGTGCTTGATGCCAAAGAAAGGGTTCTAACATTGCTGAGAAACTAAGAACAGCAGCTCTAAGGAGACAGTGAGACATTTGGCTTAAAAGATCTAGAAATTCATCAGATTTATCTCTAGAAGGCTGACCCACAGGTTGGTCTGTAACAAGAAGACTGGAAGCTCCTAGAAGCCACATAGGTTGGGTGGTGGAATCCAGATCCATAGCCCAGGGAAGGGCAGTCATGGATTCTATAACCCAGAGGTCTGAAGTGGATGGATCCACAGCCTGAGGGATAGCAGCTCTTTGATCGGTAGCCCAGAGAACAGGAGCTTCTAGATCCATAGCCTAGGGAATGACAGCTTCCAGAAACATGGCCCAAGGAATGACAGCTTCTAGAGCCATAGCCCAGAGAGTGGCAGCTTCTAGATCCAAAGCCCAGGGAGTGGCAACTGCTGGACCCAAAGCCCAGAGATCCAGCGTAGGTGCTCTGGCAGGGACTGCAGTGGGTGAAGGTCCTTGGGTGGTAGCAGGTCCTGGACACCACACAGGAATTCTGGCATCTTGAGGGCCTGTGGAAGATCTTCTGACAGCCCCTGTAGTGAGAGGAGCCCAGGTGGCAGGTCCTGGGATGGTGGAAGTTGGTGGTATAGACCAGGTTCCTAGGGTACGAAGAACCACAGAAGGAGCGTGAATAGGGCAGGTGGCCCCCAAAGGAGTGGGAGAAGTATCCAGAGTGACAGCTGTGGGACATGATGAGAGATGTGAGGTTAGCTGAGTGGATCTGAGAAGATGCTCTGAGTTTCAATGTCAAGGTTATATATACTCCAGGTTATATATACTCTTTCACCTGGGTGTGTCCAATTTCCTGATGCTCCATCTTTCTCCCTCACCTTTTATATGAGAATGTTTTCAAGGTTATTGTTGAAGTTTATCACGTGTTCATGTAATTGCACTTTAATCTCTCTGATACACTTACCAGGAAGCCACTCACTCTTTTCTGTCCCTAGAGTTTGTTGTGGTTTGACCTTCAGCGTGACAGTTGACCATGTTTTTGAAGGTCTTGCTCTTATGATCTGTGTGCACACAGAGTCCTTGTTCTACCAAAAGAAATTGCATCAGTTCTTTCTTCAGTTTTATGAAGTCACCAGAAACATCAGTGGTAACTTTTCAAAATGACTCATCCTTTTTTACTTTATAAGCACATTATAGTGAATTTCTTTTAATATTATCTCTACTCAGTTAAATCTATTTTCTCTCTATCTTGAGCTCAGGATAAGAATTAAGGAGAGCAACAACATTGTTGGTGTTCATATCAATAAACTTCCTGAAAGAGAAGCTTTCACATATTATTCTCACTAAGGAAATAATAAATAAAACACTTGTAGTGAGACTTTTAACAGAAGATTTTTTTCATGCATTTTCTTATTAGTCTATTTTGTAGCTTTTGCTTATACCCTAAATCAATACGTAGAATCTATTTAAATTTTGTCTTTGTGTTTTGAATTTTTTTATTGGTAGAAGGATAATTAACTACAATATTAATATATACTTCAAAGAACATTTGGGGGATTGTTAGGAATTTCTGCAGATATTAAATTGAAGCCTTAGAACTATGTGCATATTTAACTGAAATTTGGTCAATACATGCATGAAAAAATTATCTCGCAAAAAGTTTCCTTAACTTTCTTCTAAAATCTCAGTTAGAGAAGTAAGATTGAGTCTTTAACTATGGGTTCCGTATGCAGAGTTAAGTTTCAAATACTCTGAAAACTTTAAAAGCAAATTCTAACTTGTCTCAAAAAAGAATTTATTAAGCTTATTGATACTGATATGAAAGTCTACTAAAGCCTTATTTATCTCTTCTAAGTATGTTTACATTGAACAGTGTTTGGAGGAATTCTACATTTCAATAATATTCATACATTTTAAGCACAGTTTTACCTTCTGGCCTAGGAAAGAAAAAAAGAAGCTAGATAATCCATACTTAGATTAATGTGGGACAAAAGCATTCTTATCTGCTTTGTACCCATTCTTCTTCTTTTCAATCTGAGGTTTGATTTGGTTTAACTAAGGGAAATGGCATTCACAATTGTCATTGAGAGGGAGCCACTCAACTATCTAAAAATTAATTCTCTTTATTTCCAAGCATGCGCGTGCTTCAGAGCATTAGTTACTTTGTTTTATGATTTTCTCACCCATGCAGAAACCAATGTGTGGCATGCATTGCATGAAGTGCCCTTATGCAATACTTAAGCCATCACTCTGATTCACTGAAGTAAAATAAGCTGTGCTTTATGAATGGACACCTATTAAATTTCCTACAGAAGCATGTGCCATCCCCAACATATGGTATTTTTTATAATGCCAGCCTTGAATTCCTCTGGAACTGCAAATATTATTCTTTTCTTGCTATAAAATAGAAAAAAAGGAAAGAAAAAAACTTACTTTATAATATCATAAGTTCTTGCTTTTCCAGGTCAGCTACCCATAAGAGGAAATAAACATTAAAATTACTTGAGAGTAAGTCAATTCTAATTAATACTTCCTCTACCCACCCCTAATTACATTAATATTTTTTATTAGAGTTATTTGTGTACTTTGTACAAATGGTAATGAACAACTCATAAATATGTACCTCTGAATGAAAGAAAAAGCAAAACAAAACTAGAGTAGTTTCAGTTGTTCAGAAGTGGATTTTAGAACTAATTAAATATTCTATATGTGTCTTCTATATATACAGGCCAACTGTTCAATATTTGAACGTGTCAGAGGAAAAGGTGCAATACTGAAAACTTTCCTTCCTTTCTTTTTAAAAATTTCTTTTCTTCCAAGAAATTGAGAAATACGAACACTACAGAGAAAAACTAGCTTTGCAGTACTCAGTACCCAAAAGTAGCTTATGATATGAACTGCTTAAAAAGGATTTTTCCAGATCATCATGTTAATGTAGCTCAGCCTTCAAGCTGACTCTTATTGAGATTTTCTCAGATTTTTGAAAACTCTTAAAATCAGGCAAAAATATTTGGTAGTAACAAAAATAGAAGAAATCTCTATACTCCACTCTGTACACAGTTCTTCCTTCATTCTAAATTTTATAGTCTCAAAAATTAAAGAGGCTTTATTGTTTAATCCCTGGAGTTCTTCCTCATAATAGCTGTAGTTTGCTGGATTTGGTTTTCCAAATGCATTCATCCTGAGGGGATTTATCTGTTAAAGGAGTAACACACACTGAAGAATTGGATCAGTGAAGGACTCCGCAGAATCACTGGCCCACTCTGCTCTTGGCCTCTTCCTCAGATAACCAGCAAACCTTGCCTGGCCAACCTGCCTCAGTGTTTGTGATTATTCTTGAACCTGGTATCTCTCCTACCTGACTGCACCTTTTTCTACTTCGAATGGACCCATGTTGTATCTTGTGACTCAAATTCTCCCTAACTTGTATTTTAAATATAAAGGTCAGTGGATCTGCTTTCCAAATAGCTCTGCTCACAGAAGTATCTTTTTTTACCACTTGCAAGAACCTACCCTGATGTTTGTCCAAAGCTGTTTGAGCAACTGGAACATCTAAATAAAATACATAGAGTAATATGGTTTTCTGTAATACCTAAAATCATAATTGTTACAATTTTGTCATATTTATATAATGACTTTCTTTTATTATTTAAAGAAATAAAATATCAGAAGGCTGCTTCTGGTGGCCAACTTCAGTCTGGTTCTTTCCCACTTTGCCAAAGTCATCACGTGATATGTGATATCAGTTTTCAGTAACCTTCCAGAAAATTTTCTTTACACATGTTTGTAGGTATAGACAGTTCATTGTATTATTATTGGGTTAAGTTGCAATAATTCTCTCTTATGGAACATATATGGATGATTTTCTTTTTATATTAAAATTATTTAGATAAACTTATTTTAAAATATCCCCATGTGGATATTTATATATTTGTGCCATTTTATTTATCCTTTACTTTTTTGATTATTTTCATTATCATAAATCATATGCCCAGAAGCATACTTGTGTATAGGTCCTTTTACCTGCTGCCTAGGGCTCTGGCAGGTGTGTATTCAGAAGTAAGATAGCCAGGCATTGTGGCTATTAAAATGGCAGTCCTTGAGTGTAGGCTGACTGGATCTGAATCCTGATCCCATCACTTATTAGCTGTATAAACCAAACATATTGAATTTCTCTTTCTAGTTATCTTTTGCCCATTCTTCTATAGAATCATCTGAACTGTAAATTTATTTTTATATTCTATATCATGTCTTTGTGTTTCATATGTATACTCCTTTGGTCAGTTATTTACACATTTTTCCCCCAGTCAGCTCTATTAAGACACAATTCCTGTGTAATGAAATTCATCATTTTGAAATGTATTAATCAATGAGTTTTGACAAACAATCATGTGTAGTTATGTAATCATTAACCAATCAAGATAGAATATTTTCATTATTGCCAGAAGTTCTCACACCAATCCCTCCATACCTGAAGTTCTGTTCTTGTCTTTGAACAGTAAATGGAACTACACATCACATGACCTTTGTGTTTAGCTTCTTTTAAAGAGCATAATGCACTTGAGACATATGCTTGATGTTTCACATTTCAGTTATTCAGTATGATTTATTATTAAATGGTGATTCATTATCCATATGTCATACCACTTGATTATTCATTCACCATGAAACGAACACTTACATGATATCTAGTTCTGGGTTACTTTGGATACAATTTCTATAAACTCGTGAATGTAAATATTTATGTGAAAGTATGTTTTTAATTCTTTTGAGTAAATTTCTTGGGGATGAGATTATTTCATATGGTAACTGTATATTTAGCATTATAAATAACTGCCAATCTCTTTTCCACAATGGTTGTAACATTTTTGCATTCCAAACAGCAATGTATGAAAGTTTTCCTTGTTCCTTATCCTCAACAGCACTGTGTATATTATAATTATGTAATTGTTATAATAATATAATAATTACTATTTTGGTTATTGTAGTTGGCATGTAGAGGTGCACCACTGTGGTTTTAATTTGCATTTCTCTCATGATTAATATTACTGAACATCTTTCATGTTCTGTCTGTGTCTCTGATGTCTTCTTTATTGATATCTTTTCAAATATTTAGACCATTTTTCTATTTGAGTTGTTTTCATGTCACTGAGTTATAATACTTTTTATATATCCAAGATACAGTTCCTCTATCAAATATGGATGTTTCCAACATTTTTCCCCAGTGGTGGTTTGTCATGTCATATCTTATTAAAATCTTTGAAGAGTGTATGTGTGTGCTTGTGTGTTTGTGTGCTTGTGTGTTTGTGTGCTTGTGTGTATGTGTGTGTGTGTGTGTGTATAATTTTGATGAAACACAAATTATCCCCAAATCTCTTAGTACATGGTACAGAATTTGGGTCAGGCCTCTTTTATATTTAATATTTTGATGTCCAACCACCCTAGTAACATTCATTGAAAAGAACACCCTTTCTCATTGAATCATCATGACACCTTTGCTAAAAGGCAGTTAATCACTCTTATATAGATCTATTTCTGGAGTCAAGCTTATGTTCTCTTGATATGTATCTCTGCCTTGGGTCAGAACCACAAGGACTTAATTACTAGAGCTTTATGGTAAACCTTAAAATCACATTGTATATTTGCAAACTTTGGACTGTATTTTCAAAGTTATTTCCCAGCTCTAATTCCTTTGAGCTTCTGTACAAATTTAAAGAGTGAGTTTATCAATTTATATTTTAAAAAATTTCTTTGGTGGGGATTTTGATTAGAATCATCTAAATTCTATAGCCAGTTTGGGGAAAATTGGCAACTGAGTAGTCTTCTGT